CAAACAGTATACGAGTAAAAATCATAACCATATCAATAACATTAACAACTACTTGAAGCCTAGCACAGTTTTTAGATAACTAAATATAATCAATTGTTAAACTTGTAAAATGATCAATATATCAATAATAATAGTAATAAAAGTTGTTAATAAAACGTCAATATATCAAAGAATGTGATATCAGGTGATTGAATGCTCATAATGTTAGCTAACTAGTTTGAAGGGGTTACGTACCTTCCCTATCAAGGCATCTGTAGACCCATTGCTACATTATTTTGTAAAGTAATGCTAAATGTTGAACCGGAAACTTTACATATGGATGCCTGTAAAGGGAAAGTACCCACCCAATTTTCTAAGCGACTATTTTCTTTCATAAACGCCTTTTGTACAATTTATTAGATATTCAACAAAAATCTGGACTTATAAGACAAAACAAAAAATAAAATTGAGATTTAAACTTTTTTGTAAGGTAATCAAATAAACCCCAATAAATAAAATTGCGTGTCAAGTTAGCAAGTTTAATTATTGTTCTGTTGGAATTGTTTATAAGAGCTATTGTTTGTCTTTTGTTTTTAACTAACATTTTCATTTGTTAAACATTTTATATGCATATTTGTTCTTTATACAATGTTAAAATGTTTTATTCAATTTGCAGCATTTGAAAAAAAACAACAAGAAACTAAACAGTCTACAGAAATGTTTTAATGTGGTTTAAATCTAAAAGCTTTGTCGCTATAAAACCTATCTCGCTAAAAAGATTCAATTATCTCTTGCTTTAAACTAGACAACTCAGAAAACGTGAAATATTTTAACTCACATATTTTGTATAAACTCTAAATTAATTTTCCCCAAAACTGTAGGACATTCGGTTGCTAATTTCACCTTAATGATCGACTGATTAAGTTTCATTATTACGCAATAAATCGTGCCTTTTTTAAAGCGATCACATCATTTTTAAAAAGTGAATTCAGTCGGAATGTATAATTTTGTGTTTAAATTAATTTTTACAATTTTTCCATCAGTAGAACAGTGCGGAATTTAAAAAATAAAACAATGCAATTTTGTTAATTCAAAGAAATTTTGTTAATTTCAAACAGACCTTTGAATTTTATATTTTGACAAAATAGCTGTGGTAATATGCAACCCTGGACATTTGCGAGCTCGGGATCAGGAAGACAATAGCTGGGTAATATGCGAACCTTGGTTGATGCGGATTCAGAAAGAACTCTGTAGCTAGGGTAATATGCGAACCAGATTTAAATAACAGAAGAATGTGTTGAAAGGTACAACTGATGGCACGTAGCGAAGTCAAAAAACCAGAGAGTGTTAAATAGAGTGACGCTAGCATGAAGCTATTCACCACGAGGGCATTACGATCATCTTGCCTCGCGGACATAAAGGGCATTACGTTCATTTTGCATCACAGTCCAAAAGGGCATTACGTTCATTTTGCATCACAGTCCAAAAGGGCATTACGTTCATTCTGCAAAGCTGGCAATAGATTCATCCTGCCTCACAGCGTATAAGATTCCCCTGTTTTCATAATCTTTTTGGAAATCAATTCTTCTTTCCATGTCCAAAATGGCTTAAGGTCCAACCCTTCTACACGCTGAATATTGTATAAACCTACATCCTATACATTAACCAGAAACCTATGATTTATTCAAAAACAAAGAAGAAAAAAACCAAGCTATAATTTTCCCAGTGGCCTTGAGTCTAGTCTAAAACTTCCCCGGCATGTGTGGGAACGTTGTCTTTAGCGTCCGTGTTGTGTTATCAAGTATAGAACATCAGGCTGTTTCCGTCATGAGTACAGTCCCATCTCTACCACATGGCGGTGCAGGGGAGACAAACTACGCCAAACTTAATCTTGGAAAACAAAATCCTCGAAAAAAAAACCAAACTTAATTTTACAAATAGCCGGAATAACTTAACGGTCCCCGGAATAACTTAACGTCCCCCGGAATAACTTAGCGCCTCGTAGAACTATATAGAGCCTCCAGCTGTCACCTTTGGAAACCAGGGATTTGAATATCGACTCGGTACTCAACTTATTTTAAGCTTGGGGGAGAAATCTCTGGCTGGGGTAAGCTATGTTGGGGGATGGGGAATGGTGGTAGAGGGTAGGTGTGTGTCTGTGTGTGATGGCGAAGGGGGGGGGGGGTTAAAAGTCTCAACAATTGCAGAGGTGACGAACTTTTTTTTGTATAAGGGAAAAGACTCAATTTAAGTTCGGGGTGGGGATTTTAGGTAAGAAGGTGCGGATCTGAGGGGGGGGGGGGCTAGTTTGAGGGGGGTGGGGTCGGAGTGGGGATGGGGTTAGTGTGAAGATAGGAGTCTCGACATATTTTTAGCGCGAGTACTTGTTGACAATTTGAGTCAATTTTCAGAAATGGATCCATTTTTATGCAGTATCACGGTATTGAATATCTTTAAAAGTTCCAAAAGCTTTTAGCGACTGTCAATAGTTAAAAAAAAGCTCTACAGAAACGGAAGTGAAGATTACAGTTTATACTGCAGGAGCGAAGTTTTTTTTTCTTGAGTTTACAAGAGAGTAGCGCTAAGACACTCTGGGAGTGGATTGGGTGGGGGGGGGGGGGTGATTCCATGTTTCGCTGAGCTTTCAAGGGAAAGTAACTCTGCAATGTTTAGTCATGTGTGATTTAAAAAATAAAATAACCGACGTGTTTCAAAATAATTTTACGTGTCTCGTTTTAAAGCCTAGGTTTATTTTTTTAGGACTATGTCATGAGAATAGCACTATTTTAAAAAAAAAGTCTTTTTAAACAGGCGTTGAAATAGAACAGCTAAACAGTGATTAGTCTTTCATGTTCAGATAATTAAGGGTAAATAAAAAAAAACCCAGGCTAACAGGACCAATAACCACCAAGGCACACAATAAGGGAGACAACCTTTACTTCTCTGTCCACTGATGAAGCGGAGATTAGTTTTGTTTGATAAGTCAATATGAAAAAAATCAGATAAAAGGGAATTCCCGATTGTTTATTTTAATAAAATTATGACATTAAGGTCAGAATACAAGGTCTCCCATATAAAAAAAAATGAAAACAGAAAAATTGTAAAACTCCGAAAATGTTATTGTACGCTTAACCCTACGCAAACTATCGGACAGAAAAGTCTTTAAATAATTAAGTTTGTTACCAAAAAAACATTTTTAAAAAGGCTATGCAAAATTATATAAACCTCTTGTTAAATATTTTGTTAAAATATACACTCGTTCATTAAAATGTTTCCATTCATAATAGAATATAGATTTTTGCATTACAAACATTTCGAAATATAAAACTTTAATTACTTTTGTTGCGGTAAATTCTGTTTGGGGATGTATGCAACCAATTTTAAAAATTCCAACATCCACCAATCACATGTTATAATATCACTTGGGTTAACTATTAGCGAAGATCTATACCTTGAATCGACTGGAAAATATAGTTCAACAATTAAATTGCAGATCGTAGTCACGACATCCAAAGTGTGCATACTATAAATAAGAGATTTCCATTTTTTAATTATGTATTCAATTATAATAACGTATTAACCAGTTTTAGCTTTTAATTTTTCTTAAAAAAATATTACATTGTTTTAATTATTTTAAGCCTAATTAAAACTGTGATTATCTATAATCTTTTTAACTTTTTAATCGAGAGTTATCTTTCTCTTCCTAACTGTTTTCTTGTTTTTCTCCTGATAAAAAAAAGTCCCATTTCTGTATTATTATTTTAATTTAAGAGTCACAATATGGATGGCCAATCAAGCTTAAGGTAAAATAGATTAAGTAAAAGGACAATAATAATAAACTCGTTACCATATTTTTATAGTACATATTTAAGGCAAAGTAAATACTATTTAATTAAAAAATCGTATTTAGTAAGAACAATATTTCCACGATTTTGAGTGTTGTTATCATACCCTTTTTCAAATTATTTTCTTTAAACAAACGTGTTTTATAATAAATATATATCATACAATTTAAAATGATTTTCTTTTAACTAAAGTGTATTATAATAAATGTAGGCCTATATCATATAAATTAAAATTATTTTCTTTAAAAAAAAAGTTTATTATAAAAACTGTATATCATGCAATTTAATCTTAACGTCTCCTATCTCAAGTACGCAGCTACGTACACATACACTTGTTCCTTAATAGACTACTAGAAAACTATTCATTCCGCTCTAACCCTACATGAATTGTGATATATATTAGTTGAAGTCAATCAGCTGAAGTAACATGTTGATAATAAATAGCTAAACATAAAAAACACACGAAAAATAGAGTAAATTGTTGTAATTATAATGATTAGTACAAGCGAGATAACAGCATCCACAGTAGAAGTAAGCTTAGAGCTATGGCAATTATATATATTTTTGTGTGTGAATGGCGACCAGTTATGAAGGACGTTGCTTATTGCTTAAAAACAATGATAGATATATAGTAAAATAGAACATCAAATGGGAAAAAAAATGATTTTTCCATGCACGCCATTGGCAGATGACGAGGAATAATCATCATTGGTTAAAAAAATATCAACAATTCCTAATAGTGGATTATGGATTTTCTCTTCAGTAGATCACGCTTTATTGTTTTCTGGACATTTTTTAATCCACATGATTATAGCTGAGAGTTCAGCTTTCAGTATTTAGCTAAAATGTGAACGTATGGCTTATAGCTGAAACATGAAGACGGGATTTTTAGCCGAAATCCGAGTTTTGGCAGCAGAAAAATGCAGTGGTAGAAAAAATAAAAGGATAACTGTTGTTGTTCCAAAGACACGCAAGTTTGAGAGTTATTGCCCACGTCACTGGGCCTGTGTTTTGTACTCGTTTTATTGTGCTCTGTCACTGTACCCGTGTCCCTGTGCTATTGTCACGGTGCACTTGTCACTTTGTTATTGTCACTGTACTTGTGTCACTGTGCTATTGTTACTGTGCCTGTGTCACTATGTCCGTGTCACTATGGCTGTGTCACTGTGCTCGCGAGACTAAGCCCGAGTCACAGTGCCTCTGTCATTATGCTCGTGTCATTATATCCGTGTCCCTATAACCTGTCACTACGCACGTATAACTGTGCCCGTATCCCTATGCCCATTTCACCAAGCCCGTGTCATTATGCACGTGTCACTGTGCTCTTGTCACTGTCACCGTGCTCGAGTCACTGTCATCGATGCCCCCGCCTGTATTTCCCGAACAGAATTTTCTGGAAAGCACTGCGGAACTCGGGACTAAAAATGGTGTAAATGATGGGATTGAGCAAGCTGTTGAAGTAGCCGAGCCACAGCACAAAACTACGAGCAAACACCGGGATCTCTTCCTCATCTTCCACGAACGGACCGATAAGTGCGATGATAAAAAACGGCAACCAGCAGATGAGGAAAGCGCCAGTGATGATTGCCAGGGTGCGGGCGGCTTTCCGTTCCCGTTTCAGTTCCAACTTCTCGCGATTCCGAGAATACGGGGTGTTATCGTTCGCACTGATCTTCTTCCCGTTGTTGCATTGTCTCTCCAACATCGCGATGCTCGATTCCTCCGCGCAGCCGTTCGTGAACGCCTCCGTCTCGATTTGAATCTGCTTCAGCCGCTCCGAACTAGAGCTGTTGCTACTCACGCCGTTCGTCTGCTCCGGAGTGTGATTTTTGTTGCGGTTTTTCTTCCTCTCCGGGCGCGGCGAGCAACCGTAACTTTTAAACGGCGCGCGGCGTTTCTTTTTCTCCGCCGTCAAATCCGGAGAGTTACATCCATTGCAGTCGCTGACGACGCTGTATTCCGTTTTCGGCGAAGCGACCAGCGTTGTTTCTTCCGTTTTCAGATGCGCTTTCGTCATTTGAAATTTGTCTTTTCTGATCCGCGATCTCGCGACCAGCCATATCCGGATGTAGATGATCATCATGACGAGCATGGGCAGGTAGAAAGCCCCGACAGTGGAGAAGATCGTGTAGCCTTTGTCTTGGGAGATGATGCATTTCCCCGTGTGGGCGGGGTCGTTATTTGGGTCGCGCCAACCAAACAGAGGCGGGATAGAGATAAACAAAGCGACGATCCACACGACGGTAATCATCAGGAGTATTCGGCGGGCGCTGCGTCGGCGGATGTAATCGATACTGGTAACAGCCCAATACCGGTCCATGGCGATGGCCACGAGATGGAGTATCGATGCCGTGCAGCAGAGGACGTCCACCGATATCCACATATCACATACTTCTGAGTGTAGGAACCAGACCTGAAAATAAAACATGACGGTCATTAAAATGTGGTTTTGTATGGAGTGAGAGGTCATTAAAATGTGGTTTTGTATGAAGGGAGCGGTCATTAATATTTTGTTTTGTGTAGAGGAAAGGTTATTTGAACAGCAGTGGTGTATTAAAAGAAAAAAGAAAAAAAAAGATTTCTAACTAAATTTATGTACGGAAGGTCCAATTGCACCAGTAGCTAAAGTAGTGTACTAAAGACCTAATTGCACCACTAGCTAAAGCAGTGTACTAAAGACCTAATTGCACCACTAACTAAAGCAGTGTACTAAAGACCTAATTGCACCACTAGCTAAAGCAGTGTACTAAAGACCTAACTGCACCACTAGCTAAAGCAGTGTACTAAAGACCTAATTGCACCACTAGCTAAAGCAGTGTACTAAAGACCTAATTGCACCACTAGCTAAAGCAGTGTACTAAAGACCTAATTGCACCACTAGCTAAAGCAGTGTACTAAAGACCTAATTGCACCACTAACTAAAGCAGTGTACTAAAGACCTAATTGCACCACTAGCTAAAGCAGTGTACTAAAGACCTAATTGCACCACTAGCTAAAGCAGTGTACTAAAGACCTAATTGCACCACTAACTAAAGCAGTGTACTAAAGACCTAATTGCACCACTAGCTAAAGCAGTGTACTAAAGACCTAATTGCACCACTAGCTAAAGCAGTGTACTAAAGACCTAATTGCACCCATACATAACTTCCGCAGCAGAATTAAATGCTTAACATAAATCCAAACATTTTTTGTGATTTATGACTACAAATAAAACAAGTTGTTTATCATCGCAATGATTTCTACATAAAACTTTACAGCATCCCCCCCCCCCAACCGTCACAAAACAGGCGTAATTTTATCCGTACAAGGTGAACGACATCCAGGCATTACCGCACTTGTAGCTGGAAATAGAATTCCAAATGATTACCAAGGTTTCTTGGACTCTCGAAGACGTACATTTGAAACCACTTTTGGTGTTTTATGACCAGTTTAAATATTTGTCATGTTTTTTTGTGCGTTCCAAATGTTTAAATAACACGTTCTCCTTACCTCCCCTGTTCGCGCGGGGGCTGGTTTTACACAGATGTAATAGACAAGTGTCTATAATATAAACTGTATGAATATTTAATAAATGTCAGCTCCAAGAATATCAGATACATCATTCTCAACCATATTATAAAGTGTCTGGACGCAGGAAAAATTCCATTTGAATATAAATTGGGTTTTTATTCCGTCCAAGTTTTTAAAAGCATTTTGGTGATGGGAGTGATACACATTCTCTAGGAGAAACAAATGGAAGCGTTGTTTTTGGTGGGTTCGGGCGGGCTAAATGGCAGGCTAAATTCAGAACAAACTTATACCAAAATCAGACCATAGTCAGACCAAACTCAGAACAAACTAAGAACAAACTCAGACCAAACTCAGACCAAACTCAGACCAAACTAAGACCAAACTAAGACCATAGTCAGACCAAACTAAGACCAAACAAGACCATAGTCAGACCAAACTCAGACCAAACTAAGACCAAATTCAAACCAAAATCAGACCAAACTAAGAACAAACTCAGACCAAACTAAGACCAAACTAAGACCATAGTCAGACCAAACTCAGACCAAACTAAGACCAAACTCAGACCAAATTCAAACCAAAATCAGACCAAACTAAGAACAAACTCAGACCAAACTCAGACCAAATTCAAACCAAAATCAGACCAAACTAAGAACAAACTCAGACCAAACTCAGACCATAGTCAGACCAAACTCAGACTATAGTCAGACCAAACTCAGAACAAACTAAGACCAAACTAAGACCATAGTCAGACCAAACTAAGACCAAACAAGACCATAGTCAGACCAAACTCAGACCAAACTAAGACCAAATTCAAACCAAAATCAGACCAAACTAAGAACAAACTCAGACCAAACTAAGACCAAACTAAGACCATAGTCAGACCAAACTCAGACCAAACTAAGACCAAACTCAGACCAAATTCAAACCAAAATCAGACCAAACTAAGAACAAACTCAGACCAAACTCAGACCAAATTCAAACCAAAATCAGACCAAACTAAGAACAAACTCAGACCAAACTCAGACCATAGTCAGACCAAACTCAGACCATAGTCAGACCAAACTCAGACGCCGAAGCCAAATGTACCATAAAATAAGCAGCCGGACACAAAAAACAACTTACAAACTAACAACTTACACACTTATTTCTGTTAGATTAACCAATCATGTTGTTAATTTAACCAATCATGTTGTTAATTTAACCAATCATGTTGTTAATTTAACCAATCATGTTGTTAATTTAACCAATCATGCTGTTAAATTAATCAATCATGTTAATTTAACCAATCATGCTGTTCATTTAACCAATCATGCTGTTAATTTAACCAATCATGCTGTTAATTTACAAATTTACAAATTTTTACAAATCTCGACGTTTTACACCTCACTGATACGGGAAAAACATAATTTTGCAATCTTGTCCGTATGTCTGTGTGTGTGTGTGTCTGTGTCTAAACACGATAACTTGAATACCGTTACAGCTAGGTTGATGACATTTCATATATAAGTATTTTATCAAAATCGTAGATCCTGACCAGCTTTTGAGCGATTTCCGATAACCGGAAGTGGTACTTTTTCTGCTTTGAATTTTTCAAAAGCCTATAACTTGATTAATATTTCAGACAGATAAATGAAATTTCACATGTAAGTAAAAGATCTAATTCTCTACCTTCTGTCAAATTTTGAGTAATTTTCGTTGACCGGAAGAACTAATTTACGCTATTTCCGATTTCTCAAAAAACGCGTGTAAATTTATAAAGTACTCATAATATTGCGCACTATTATGCACATTTTGTGTGCAATTCTTGTTTTTTTTCCATTCTATTATAAAAAAGTTTAAGTAATTAAAAATGGATAAAAAATATTGTCTATGTCCTGAGTTGCCATCCCTCGTAGTTTTATATTAGAATATTCGAGAAAGTTTAGGGGAGATCACTCCCGGTTTATTTCTTTTCACGATTACAAAACTTTCTCTATACTTTGTACATACGAGAAAGGAAAAACATTCATGAATTCATTAATGAATCAAAACACCAAAAGGGAGGTAATCTATGACTTTGTTGCTATAAAATGTAGAGAAAATTAAAATGTCACACAACACACATAAGCATCATCTGTTTTTGCTTTTAAATCGAAATTCACTTTAAAGTAAATAATTATCATTGTTACTTATTATTTATATTTAGTTAGTTCTGGAATTACTATATAACTAAATTTGTAGAAAATCATTAGTTTTTTAAACATACAGTACCATAAAATGTAAAAAAAATTCATGTGAATATTGTTTTGAAGATATTTTACTAAGCTCTGCCATTTAGGCGTTTTTTAACAATCGGCTGCAAATCTAACACAAGTTTTCGAATCAGAATTTAGAATCTTGTTTGTACATCTAAGAAAGCTGAAAGCTCCCATTAAAAGCTGACACCTAGTCAAATCCAGCACACAACGAAGTCTATTGTAGGCAAGACTCAAACAATCAAGTTATACACATCTACGGAGACAACGAGGACTAGTCCAAACAACATTGCAATACAACTACAATGTTTTAAATGACAACCTATCCACACAACAAGACTATAAGAAGTCGTAACCGTTTTTTTTTAAAAAATAATTCAATCCTTCTAAACTGTTAAAAAATTAAAATTGCCTATAAAATGACGATTAAGTAAAAAAAAAATTCGATAAATATTCTCTTTCCACATTCTATTTCGTTTTCTATAAATGTAAATAATATATCTAAATAGGGTAACGATACAATAAGGACTCATAGAAGCCAATATAAAAGGTATAGATATGTATGACCATTACAGCCAGTAGTAAGATGTATTGTTGCTTCATTCACGATTACGATAAGCCACTAAATCCCAGTGATAGAGGTGGGGGTGTTGGGCGATGAGGTGGGGTGGGGTAGCCGTGTGAAGCCCCACAGACGGTAGGTCTGGGTCACGTCTGCTATTGTTGGTATTACAATGGGGCGGGAAGAACGGACGGACTAGGCGTGTGTGACTACTGTCATGGTGATGGTAATGGCGGTGGTGATGATGGTGGTGATAGTGTTGATGGTGGTGGTGATGGTGATGGTGGTGATGATGGTGGTGGTGGTGGTAGTGTCATGGTAAAGAACTGATGGGAGCTATAGTGCTGGTGGTGATGGTGGTGGTGGTGGTGGTGATGGTGGTGGTGGTGGTGGTGGTGATGGTGGTGATGGTGGTGATGGCGGTGGTGGTGGTGATGGTGGTGATGGTGGTGATGGCGGTGGTGGTGGTAGTAGTGATGATGGTGGTGGTGTGGTGATGGTGATGGTGGTGATGGTGGTGATGGCGGTGGTGGTGGTAGTAGTGATGATGGTGGTGGTGTGGTGATGGTGATGGTGGTGATGGTGGTGATGGTGGTGGTGGTGATGGTGGTGATGGCGGTGGTGGCGGTGGTGGTGGTTGTGGTGGTGATGGTAATGGCGGTGGTGATGATGGTGGTGATAGTGTTGATGGTGGTGGTGATGGTGATGGTGGTGATGGTGGTGATGGTGATGATGGTGATGGTGGTGGTGGTGATGGTGGTAGTGGTGATGGTGGTGGTGGTGGTGGTGGTGGCGGTGGTGGTGATGGTGGTAGTGATGATAATTGTGGCGATAACGGTTGTGGTGGTCGTGATGATGGTGATGGTGTTGTGATGGTGGTGGTCGTGATGATGGTGATGGTATCGGTGAGGTGATGCTTGTAATTGTGGTTGTGATAGTGGTGGTGGTGGTGGCGGTGATAATGGTGATTGTGAGGGTGGTAATGGGGGAGGGGTTGATGTATAAAGATATACAAAGGACCTCTTACAAAACAGTAATTAAAAGCGTTATGTACTGGCTATGGGACGTCCATGGAAAGTAAGCTAATGAGTTGTGGGACCATAAAAA